TTTGCGGCGCGAAAAGCGATCGCTATGAAATGCTTGGCACTGCCAAGCACTTTACGTCCCATCGCCAACGAAAGAATCAACGTTGTTTTTTGAAAATAATTAGTCACCAGAGCCACAAAGTTTTTCATTCGTGTTATTCGCCCAATAGTCTGACAGTGTTTACTAATAACAGGCGTTTGGCCACCTCGCTGAAATTTGCTGTCGCGAATAATTCGAGTGGGTTTTCGTGAATACGATATAGCCTATAGCTTGCTGCATACGAACTTGCAAGCTCTGGCAAGTTTTATGCTTGAAAGCTTTGGCCCCACCTCGTGCACACGCGGCAAAACAGCCCTTTGGGCTGTACCGCACCCCACCTTTTCAATAATGACTCGCGCATACGGTCGTGCGCTGCACAAACGTCTGGACACAGTTAGTGGTGTTTCTTTCCAGCGCGCGGATTCGTGCAGTGGTTGCGCGTATACAACAAACAAGAAGAAATAAAGAACTGCGCGCTTAGGCAGCACTCACTAGTTCTCATAACGGTCTCACCGCCGAGCCTGAGCGGTTTCACAGGGACGCGGCTGCGCGCAGAGATGCAAAGGCAATTCCAGAAGACCGCCACGAGACACACCAGGAACAGCAACACCAACATGCACCCAGCTGCAGCTCTGCAGTGTTTTCGAATGCCGTCACGCACTGTTCTCCTTCCAAGATGTGTGCGCCCACATACTTCGCATGAACATCGATGAAATGGCGCGGTCTCGCCGTGTTTACACTATGTTTAGCAACGCTGCAGCACGCCAGCAGTCCCACCCTCGGAACAATTTCCTCATATATATATATATATATATATATATATATATATATATATATATATATATATATATATATATATATATGCATTTTCTGACGTTGTTCCAGAGAAGGGCAGCCGTACATGCGCAAACCCATGGCCAACCTTGTGTATACGCCCAGATTGGCCCAGGCACACGCCGCAGCCACGGGGCAACACGCGATCATGTTTGCGCAGCAGGAACTATCGGAGAGCGCCTCTGATGGGTCGATAACCATGACTCCTTACGCGACGTACGCGGCAGGACGACAAAGTATGCCTGGCTGATCCTGTACACATTACTCATCGCTCTATTCTATTCTTATCTTCCGCCACGCGCAAGAGCTCCCGCGATCAAGACTAATACAGAGTCGGCAATTAAGAGCGAAAAGGCTGCGCGCTTTCGCTGCTGCGAGATTGACTGATTGCTTTAATGATCAACTGACTGAAAGATTGGTCAGACTTCACGGCCCATTAAAGTTATCTAGTAAGTTATGCAGTAGCCCGCAAGATATGATAATGTTCAACAACTATACACGATTTTCCTTTCGACTCATGTGTGCCACCATTTTGGACTCATAAACATTTGTTTTGTAGATTTTCAATGTCACAATATGAACGTGGTCATAAAACGGTGAATGCGCCTTCAACGCGATTTCATGCGTGTGAGTTCACCGCAGCACTGTTTGTTTATTTGATACGAATACTAAGCTGTAACGTTATCAGTCCAAGATGGCGGCATTTGAGCGCGTTTGGAAAATGATGTGTAGAGAAGAATAAAATGAATAAGATGAAAGCTTCCTTGTAGATTCGAGCACCAAACGTGGGGATGGCAATTTTTCTATTTCACGAACGCTGAGCTTATCAGAGAAGCAGCACCTGAGTGTCCATTGATCCATTGACTCCTCATATAGCGTCGGGCAATCGATTGCACCAGCAGCGGAAATAACGTTCTATACGTCCCCTAGCCTTGACTAGCAGTATAGTCACGCTGGCTCACATTCCATGAACAGCTGAATCTTCAGAAGAGCGTCATACGCATGATGAGAAATATGTGATTTTGCTTTCCAGAGTGTGTGTGTGGGGGGGGGGGGGGCGGCCACCTACTACTTTTAGCGCTATCCTTTCGGTTTCGGTAATAATATCTATACCGAAAACGGTATGCCATAATGTGACTATATGACGAGCATAAGTGACTAGTCATAACATGAAAATCATGACATGTATGTCATGAATGTCATGTTTTACATTTCATTGTCTTGCGTTGGTTTCGTTCATATGACATATTGCAAAACTGGTGTGGTATGACATGACTGCATGGTAAACTTAAGTGACAGACCCTAACGTGGAAATCATGTGATGCATGTCAAGTCGTGAATATACAGCCTTGCTCATGGTGCACTCGCGGTCATTTCGCTAGCTTCACATACACAAAATTTGGTGTTAGTAACCTGAATGGGCGACGAAAGTAAATGACACTTCAAAACACGATATTAATGATACGCGTGCCATGTAAAATATTACTACATGCTACGCTCATAGCGTGCTCGCGGCCATTCCGCTAGCTTCACATATACCAAGTTTGGTATTACGTGACGTGAATAGACGACAAACACAAATGGCAGGCACAAACATGATAATCATAACATGTAGTGATGTACGGCATACTTTACGTCCGTCTAGTTTTGTTCATCTGATTTTAAAACAACATATCAACCTTCCTCATTCGTGCTTCGCATATCACTGATTCTCACTGTACGTGGGACCTCCCATTTTTTTCTTTTTCTCGCGCCTCTGTTAATTACACTAACGCTCACTACACCTTTATCATCGCTAAGGTATGTCAGTCGAGACTAGTACACGATAAGAAAGTAATACAATAAATCGAAAGGATCATCATACCATTAGCCTCGAGCATATGTTTCTTGGTTGGTTTGTATCTACATTTTTTTTTTTGTCTACAAAAAGCGTCAAATGAGGAACTAAGAAATCTGATCTCAAACCACCTGGAAAAATAGAGACAGAGAGAGAGATTTATCTTCCTTGCAGGCAACTCGACTAATGGTAATGAGTGCTTCTGTTGAAGGGGGAGAACATTAACCAATGTTGTGAACTACGTACCGGTATGACTCGGCGATTTCGTAAGCTCTGTTCTATTTTTTTTTCTAGCCACCGATTGCTAACAAACCATCGTTGAAGGCGATGACGTAATAATAGCGCTCCTCGCAAAACTGAGCAAAAAGAATAATAGAAAAAATGAGGAAGAATTGATGCATAATCCTTACATTATATCTGTACTGCATACATCAGCGGGTACATGGGCGGTGTACGCGCTGATGTATGTCCTTTGTTATCCGCACTTCACGGCTAGTCGATCACAGAGATAACTAGGTGTGAATGGGCGTTCTCACAGACAACGGCGTTATAGTGTGCGTGTAATTAGAAATATAAAAACTCCTCCTCGCTTTTTTTCTTCCCCCTCCTCGTGGCTCAGCGTGATAGATGATCTCGTGAAGGACTATACTGGTAACGAATTCTCACATGTGACGTTTGAGTTCACTCGCTCGAAATTGTCATCTGGTCGAATCGCACGCAGACTGCTTCGTCCCAAAGTCTAAAAAGAAGCGAGAGACGAAGCAAGCCGGGAGAGACGGAGCATTGCGAGAAAAAGACGCGTTGATCACGGCAACGTCACTCTTGGCAGCTTTGTAGCGTCGCCTGCAAGGCCACATGCTCGCACGTACGTGAACAGACAAGAAAGGCCACTCGCGAGGCCAAGAAGGAGAAATGTGACAGCGGGCGATATGCATGCGTGTATGTATACAGTAGAAAAGCGGGGACAGCGTGCATGGGAAGATCGCGTGAAAGACGAGCGACTGTTGAATGTGTGATTCAGAGAGGGTGGGAAGAAGGATGTCGCCAGCTTCTGCGGGGCGAATGGCCGTAAACAAGTTCGAGCAGCTAGACGACAATCGCCGCGCTTCGCCCGCACGTTGGGGTCCCACGCTTGGACCGCTCGTCCAACGGCGGGCCTGCGAAGGCGGTTCTTCGGCGCAACGTTCTTTCTATTTTTGCTTTAACGGTCTCCTTTCAATTAGCCCCGCACCGGCACGGTGGGTCCTCGCTAGCTCGACCGGTTCCTTCGTCGCCAGCACGCTAGATTGCGGCGTTGGGAGGCCCACTTTAAGAAACGCCGAAATCGTGCGTGCCGGAGTGCACCAGTCGTATCTAACGCGTAGACACGTACTGCGGCATGTTTCGTGCTCTGTGGTGAAAGAGTGGCAGTGAGAAGGGGAAAACGGGATTGCATGCTAGTTTGCCGGCTTTCGTGTCCTCCTTTGAACGAGTGTAGGCCCGTGTACTCAGATTTGGGTGCACGTTAAAGAACCCCAGGTGGTCAAAATTTCCGGAGCCCTCCACTACGGCGTCTCTCATAATCATATGGTGGTTTTGGGACGTTAAACACCACATATCAATCAATCAATCCTTTGAACGAGAATCAGCGACTGTCGCGAATAACACTCTACACGAGCACGACGCTTGTTGCAGTGGTGGAGGTGGTAGTGGTTCGTAAGGAAAAGGAAGAAGGCACCTAATTTCTGTCTGCCTATAGGCGACACGGCACAGTGCTTTTGCAGTGTGCGCCACCTCTCTCTTTTTTTTTGTCTCCCCCCCCCCCCCCAAAAAAAAAAGAGAGGTTTAGATGCGGGCACTTACATTTTCGCATTCCACGGCGGTGGAAGGGTCACGTGCAGAAGGGCGCAAACGCGTTGATGACAGGCCAATACGAACGACGCTGTTCAAACACTCGGGAGGGCGCAACAAGTGCAGGATGCAGACGGCTGTGCAAGTGCATGCTCCCGCGAATTTACAAGTGCACAAGGTGCACCTTTATTTTTTTCTCGTTTTTTTTTTTGCCGGGAACACGAGCGCAGCGGGGCCAACCCGGCGTGTGCACGCTGCAGTTATAAAACATGAAATGGGACAGCTTCCAAGTTCTACGTCGGCACAGCGTCGTCAGAGCCGTCGTAGAAGACATCGTCTATGAATAGTCACCGCAGATGGGAGGTCGCAAAGGGAGTTTCCTCGCCAGACGCGCGAGCTCAGACACGCTGGGTGCCGGTCTGAATCAAAACATAGATGAGCAACTGGAAAAATGATATTCAGGAGGTCGGTGTCCACTCACCCTCGGTGCGGTATCCCGTGTTGTGCTCTTTATCCATGTCACCGGCCTCCAGTATGCCCTCGCTCGACGTAGCTCGGTACTCTGATAGCAGATGTGAAGCACCTTCGCGGGAGCTTGCTCTGCCCCCTCTAACGCCGACTCCTGTGCCCTCTTGTGACATGGAGACCGCTGATTCGCTACCTCTTTTCTATTTGTACCTTTTTCGCTTCAAACTGTAGTCGCACAACGAAGGGAGGCGGGAGTAACGAGGCTTTTGTTTTAGTGCGCGCACGCTCCTCTATCTCGGCGTCATGCGGCGCGAGCTCGCGTCTGTTTTTGCGCAAGTGCCAACAACTCCGCAGCCACCACCCGCCGCTTGCCGAAGAGTCCTCAGAGTAGAGAGGGAGAGAGAGCGGGCGAGCATGACGGGATAGAGCGAACGACGCAGGATGCATTGGGCGCGACGTTTAAGTGGATGCGGGCGAGCGAAAAAAAAATCTACTACGCGCTTGCAGCGGCCACGACCGAGCCTTCGGAAGACCGGGAAGACCGACCGAGCCCTCTTCCCGCTCACTCTTTTGTCCTACGTCACTTCCTTCGATGTACGGAGACAGAAGTTGGCTGTTTATTTTGCGCGCACGCGGACCTCCTCGCTGCCCTACAAGCCACACTCTCGCTTCAAATTTGCCCCACGGCCACCGAAGCCGTAAAGTGGCCTATTCGAAGCTTCGCTCGCGAGTGGCTTCGTCGCCGCGTGCACCCTACTCCATATACTCGTCGTTTTTTTTTTTTTTATGTAATGATTATGACCTGTCACCCGTGCTCCGGGCCCCGTGTTTAGTGCTCCCTTCTCTCTAGACGCTATATATTTTCGTCGCGGCTTTGGTTGGTTGAGCTGGGCGCTGTTTTCATTGCCTCCGGCGCCTCAATAGGCGCTCGCGGCGGTGGTTGGTCGGCCGCAGCCGGCTATGACGAAAAGGAGCGAAGCACGTGTGCCCCAGCGCGCGCAGGCACTTGTTGCGCTCTTCGCTGGCCAACTGCGTCTCCTCGCCGCCGGAGAGGGAGCAAGTGGGAACGAACGAAGGAACGTTCGAGAGAGGGAAAAAAACACACACACCCCGGTGCTGCAGCCCCGAGCTTGGAAACGCTGCGTTTACCACACGAAAGATGCGAAGGAACGTGTAGCATGCGTGTTGCATCAAAGGTACGCGTGTTAACACTTGTTTTTCTGTGAGGATGGGTACGTGGCCTTCTTAGTAGTGGATATTTTCTTGACATTGTAGCGCTGAAGCACAATCACTAGAGAAGACACACAAGATAGGCGCTATCTGGAACGGCGGATGGACGACAAGCCAGCTCTTGTCCCGTCTTATCTCTTCTTTCGTGATTGTGCTTCAGCGCTACAATATCAGCAAACACCAACTTTCCCAGGAACACGTTGTCCTGTCAGTTCGTAAGCTTCGTTTTAGCGTGGCATTAAACATGGACTCGAGGAAGAAACGTACTACGACACACAAAGCTAAAAAAGGTTGAAGGGTCTAAAAGACAAAAACAAATCGCCAGAAACTTTTAAAAGCTATAGTCAGAAGGTAGCCAACTACAACCAAGCGCTGCAAAAATAGCCTAAATTGGCCACACGTGTGAAAATGACTGTGATGTTTTCGTTTAAGTGACTAAATGCATGTCTTCCGTCGAAATGTAAATAAGTACAGTCTGAAGTCTTAGTTATACCATTACTTGAGAGATGAACCAACGAGCCCCAATCATTGCCGTAAAGCCTGAATCTTTCACAATCAGAATTTCTGAGATTAAATTGTTGACTCGCCACCATTTCGTGGAGCAAGGCGCAGTTTCTTACGCTGCCGCAAAACTGGAGCTCTTAACGCATGCGTGATCTTTCTCAAAGGGACCAGAAGTATCGACCGCGTGGCTACAGTAAACATGAGTAGGGCATGAGTGTGCTCAAAATACAGTTCGAGGATTTCAAGCATCCATTGTACCCCAAGTGGTCGAAATTTCCGGAGCCCTCTACTACGGCGTCTCTCATAATCATATGGTGGTTTTGGGACGTTAAAACCCACATATCAATCAATCAAGCATCCATTGTACTCATTTTCGCAATCACTTTTTTTTTTTTTGCGTGACGAAGTATGAGCAGTTTATATTCCTGAGTTGCAGTCTCTGCGTCGTATTGAGAAATGTGTGACACAAGCAACTGGTCAGATATGCTGCCAATGTCGATGACTGCAAAATGTCGTGGATGTGGAGTGCTTTCGATTACCCTGTTCACATTTGCAGTTGCGTTAAGCAATATAGGACTCTTTGAAACTAAGCCTGCATGCAACAGTCTTCCCGATTCGCGCTCAAGCCTACAAACGTATTTTCGTGTGTATGTGACTCAAGTCCAAAATTAAATTTTGGGAGCTGAAAGCAAGCTTTGTCTGACACCGCATACTTGAACGACCGGGGCTGCAAGATGATCAGATAAGGGTAATTTAGTTTATATACAGGGAATAAAAAAGTAGCCGAGAATCAGCTAAGTAGCCAAAGCGTTTTTTCCGCCCCAACCAAACTAAAAAAATAGCCATACATCGCAACTCTAGCGCTAAATAAACCCTCATGTAGTTGATTGTTCATCATTTTCAGTTCATTCCCGTTTATGTTAATTAATATACTACACTTAGAACATGCCAGTAATGTCCCCTGTACCTTCCTTAGCTTCAGTGTTCGCTGAATTCATTGCGTTCTATTATTATTGGTGGAAACATACGGGAAAATATTATGCGTGATAGTGACTGTCTCTCAAGAGAGACAGCATGCATGGCCATCCGCTTGAAGAACATAAAGAAAAAGGTTGTTTCGATGCAAGCGCGAAACAGGGAATATTTGCACATCACCGTCTCAACGCCTAGACAGCGATGGGAGCATGTCATGTGCAAGGGTATTCATGGTGTCCCACGTAACTTTAGCCAGAGTTTAAAAATATGGCGGAACACGTAATTACGACGCAACCAAATGCATAATGCTCACAGTTGCCTGGAGGTAGACTATTTTTGTGTTCTCAAATATTGTTTAATTAGATCTGTTTAATTAACTAACTTTCGAAGCAACGAAAATGGATCAAAAATTTAAATGAGAAAGTTTTAGTTCGTTTTGCGAAACGTCAAAATAGATAGTTTTGAACTTCATATCTGTTAATTATTAATGTTTTTCTGCTAATTACAAATGCCCGTGAAATACAAAAAATACCACGTGACAAACCCACTTGCGCGTCAGTGCGCACGATGATTCTAGTGCTCCCTAACATTCGGCGTACGAACGACACGCTTCCATTGCACCGGTTCATGACAGCGATAAGCAGTCGCAGCGGTTATCGTTTTTGTGGCCGATAGCGAAACGAGTTCATCGCAAAGCCACCACCATCGTTGCAGCCCTGCAGAGACAGCCCAATGGTGCAAATGCTATGGTCATTCGTACGTGGAACGTTGGGGTGCACTAGAATCATCGTGCGTCCTGACGTGCGAGCGGGTTTGTTACGGGGTATTTTGTTGTATTTCGTGGGCATTGCTAATTAGCAGAAAAACACTAATAATTAACATATATAAAGTTCAAAACTATCTATTTGGACGTTTTGCAAACCGATCCACAACTTTCTCATTGAAGTTTTTGATCCATCTTGGTTCTTTTGAAAGGTAGGTAATTAAGCGGATCTAATTAAACAATATTTCAGAACCCGAAAATAGTCCAACTCCAGGCAACGGTGAGCAACGTGCATTTGGTCGCGTCGTAATTACGTATTCCGGCATATTTTTTAAACTCTGGCTAAAGTTACGCGGCACAACCTGCATACGAGGCGTTGTTGCGCCTTTGGATAGCGTGGTGCGGACTCGGGCCATCCGAGTCCCCGGAGAGGACGAGTAGAGAAGCCGGAGAAGGAGAAAAAAAATGTTTATATACAGTATTTACATGGTAGCGTGGTACAACATGAAAAGAGAATCACACACGAGCGCCTCTGCGCTAGCGTTTTTATACATCGTCCGCCTTCCCAAGATCCCTTGCAAAGAAAATTTATGCGCAGGATACTCCAATGAGATCGTCGTCTTCCTCTCCGTCCCCGAAGAGGGAAAGCCAAACACCGCCTCCCTCTGAACCTAGGAAAGGGGCAAGACATGCCCAGTTCGCTGTTTGGTGAGGGAGACCCCACGCGCCAGCGTGGCACCACAGTGAGATGACGTGGAATCCCATGCGCAAAGTCGCTCCCTGATGCAGCCAGGTTGACTCAAGCAAGGCAGAATACCCCGTACAGCTGCTGGGTCGACGCTGCTTCGGAGTGTTGCTCTCGGCGGCTGACAAAAGCTTGGCCAACGACTTTTGTGTCAAGAGGAGCCGGCGACGTGGTTTTTTCCAGATTGTCCGCGTCCGTCGCCGTCCCGGTGCAGGGTTGACTCATCAACAGCTGCCAGGTGCCAGCAGGCCGCGAAGACCACGTGGAACTTGGGCGAGGCACAACAGCACCCCCGCCGCCAGATGATACATCGGGAGGTCGAGTTGTTCCATGCAGCTCGGCCGGGTCGATGTCGGCGACGTTCCGGCAAGGCTCTTGCTTTCTCGAAGGGCCTGGTCAAACTGGAATGCTCCAAGAGCTGGCCTCTGCGCCCCGCTTCGGTGAAAAGTGGGTGACAAGCTCCAAGAAACGACCTTTGTCAGCCACACACAATGCGACAAGCACCGCGTGCACGCCACTCTCATCGCCAGGCCTCCGATTTTACAAAGCAAACATCTTATCTTAATAACTTAAGCTCAAGGAAACAATGTGCATACCAATCGGGACAAGTGTCCAGTAACTCTTTCATACGTAACTCCATTTGGAATCGAGATAACATTATAATCAAGCTAAACAAGCAAACTGTAGAGCTCGGGACAACGAGGGAGTCAGTGAAAAATTTCTCTACGCCCTCACTGTAACACATTGAAAAAAAAAGTACACATAAACTAGGTAAAGGTAAACAAAAAAAAATCAAACAAACCTTCCGCGTCTTTTGACGAGTCAAAACGCTCGACTTAGGGCGTCTGCATTTGTATGAAGGCCACCTCTCTTGTAGCGCACTTCGAAATTGTGCTGCTGCAGTGCTATGCTCCATCTGAGCAAACGACCATTCTTAGGTGACATTTGGTGTAACCAGGTTAGTGGAGAGTGATCAGTTTCTATAATAAACTTAGAGCCAGCAACATAGCAGCCTAGTTTTCGTACGGCCCAAACAATGCAAGCACATTCTTTTTCCGAAGTGCTATAAGCCTCTTCCCTGCTACAAAACCGGCCGCTCCTCTCCACTCTGGTCCGTCTGACATAGCACTGCTCCTAAACCGCGTTCGCTTGCATCACACTGAATAGTGAAAGGTTTTGCAAAATCCGGTGCCCTCAAGACGGGTTTCTCACTCAATGCGTGCTTCAGCTTCTGAAAAGCG